CCGGCTGGTCTCACTCACCTCATAAGATATCCTAAGGAAATCATCCAGATTTAAGGAAAGATCACATGCCCCCAGAAAGGCAGTTAAAAAAATCAGACAAGTGCCAAGCTTGCATCCTGGACAGTGCCAGGAACCAATAAAACTGTGTAAAAAGCTTCAAACAACCCTTCCCCTTTAAGAAAGTCAATCCCCTAATAAAGCAAAGAAAAGCAAAATACCAGCAAAGTAAAAAACAACAACAAAACCCTCCGGAGAAGTTTTCAGGCTAGAGAAAGTAGGGTGTACTGCCAAGAACCATTAGCTGTTACAATGTAACAAGGCTTAACTGCAGAGGCAGTTTCTGAAAACACTTAAGCAAGGCAATAAAGATAAGGATTAGGCTAGAAGCCTAATGCACAGAGGTACACCAGAATGTCTCTTTCCTGCCTTTCTGACAGGATTAATTCTGTAAGGTGGGAAAAACAAAAGGCTGTTTCTTCCAACAGCCGGTTTGCTGAACTGCTCAGAAAGTTAGCTAATGGTTCTCCCGAACCAGTGTGAAGCAGATGAATCCCGCCACTGGCAGTATTGGATTTGGTTGCTATTGGGAGAGGAAACTGCCAGGGAGAACTAGGGAAATAGTTAGCCAGACTGTGAAGTTAAAAAATACCCCCAAAGAAAGCAATAGCACACTTCTTCCATAGTGTTGCCAAGAAAACTTCATAGATGCATCTTTGAATCAGTAGCTCCACTTGATGGAGACTTAACTTTATAACTTACTCTGTACCCATGCTTCTTGAATGGAAAGCCAATAAATTTAGCAGAACTTCCCAGGCCACTCAGGACATAAAAGTGGTGAATTAAGAAAAATACAGGAATAAGATTATCTAGTTTGGTAATGAAATGTCTAAGAAAACAACAAAGATCAGAGAGCACCAAGGATCTCACAGTTCAACTCTGAGCTACAAATATTCTCTTCTTTTGGTAAGAAGAATTACCTGTGAACTATCATACACATAAACACACACACACACACCATCAAGAACACAAGTGGTTCTAACCAGATAATATATAGAACATAGTCTCCCATACTGTCTATGACCTAGTCTGTATACCTTTCTTTATAGTGGATGTTTCTGAAAGATATATCATATAGTAGTTTGAGTCCCTTTCTATGAAAACATGATTAGGATATTATGCTCTAAGTAACAGTGAGTCCCTGGATCATTTAAATTCTAGGCCAAGCTGGAGAAATATTCCCTGGGTTCACAGAGTGAAGTTTTATTCATAACTCATTGTAAGGTGAGAATTGTAGAAAGAAGGGAGAATGAGAATATTGTACAAAGTTGTTATTTTCCCCAACTTTCAGATGCAATGGGATTGCAGATTGCAGATCTGCAATTAATTAATTCCAGGTTGAGTGGCCATAGTGGCCAAGAATTATGAGAGTTGCAAACAAGCATATCTGAAGGTCACCAGGTTGCAGAATTCATGGTTACGTGCTGATATTGCATTGAGCTAAAACGCATTTAGCTTAGTACATTTGTTTCCTTTTTTCTTTTCCTTCAAACTAGGATTTCAAAATTACCTGGTTTTTTTTTTTTTCTAAATAAAAAAGTTTCTTTTGCTGGAAACTCCATGAATACAAAAATTGGAATTGGCTCAAGTCTCTTCAGTGACATAATTAGAAGGCTTTTGATATGCCAGATTGGCTGATCTCTGTTACTTCCCTCTGGTGCTGGGGAGTGTCAGCAAAAGGATTAGCCTGAAGCTACTTCCTGACACTCTGCTAAATCTCTCCTGCTTTGTTCTGTATCCAAATGATGGGAAAGAGAAAGGAAGAAGACAGCTAAAATAAGATATTGCAGCAAGCTTGGATCAGAACTCTCCAGCTTGCCTTTGGTTTACATGGAGGGATCCCCTTTCTGTCAAGATTTGTACAACAGTTAATGCCACTGAAACATATACTGTAAACCAGAATAAAACTTTAGGGAGATAATTGAATTTTGGCGAGGAAGGAACAAGTTGAATTCACTGCTCATTCTCAATATTTGCAAGCTTAGCTTGGAATCATTCTCCCCAAACATGGACATATCTTATCTGTTGTGAAGATATGAAAGCGATAGGACATACAAGGAGTACTATGGAGGAATGGCATAATCATCCAAATAAACTGATTAGTATTTTTTGTAATTTTTATGTCTAAAAGGTTCCAACATCCATAAGGGCAATAACATTCATATATAAAAGTTAAAAAGGGAGACAAGAAAAAAATAGTAAAATTACACAATATTTTAGTATTTTTTCCACACGGTAACATATTTATCTGGCACAAGACAATTATGATTCCCTCATCTGAGCAAGATATGAAATCAGACCATATTTTTCAGAAAACTATAACTTTAACTTGACCACAACACAGATAAAGAGCTTAATTTCTCAGCTGTAGCAACATGGCAAACATTTTGGCACCAGAACTGCAGTGCCACAGATGTAACTTTCCTGTGTTTAATGATGCACATTCTAGTAGCAGCCAACAAAAACACAGGCAGTCCCCTTTGAGCAATAGCCTTTTTAGTGACCACTCACAGTTATGATGGTGTTAAAAAAATAACTTTTTGACCAACCTTCACATTTACCACCTAAATGTAAAGCAAAAGAAAACTAAAGTAAGATCATAAGCACAGTTCAAGTTTCACCTAGCAACTGCTTCACTTACCAACCAAGTTGTTGGTCTCAATTATGAGGACTATACTAAATGTGGACTATTCACACCACATCAACCTTTAGTACAAATATTTGCAATGGATCCTAAAATGGATTTCAGCAAAACAAGTTGTGGGCGAATACTAATTATATGGTTTATAACTTTACCAGTCTCCAAAACTACTTCAGGTCAGAAGTTAAATTGATTAACAGTTGGTTAAAACACAATCCAAACGAACAAAAAAGCTACCTATACTACCTTTAGAGTTTGCTGTTAAGGGATGAGAACAAATGCTATTGTGACTAGGTATTCTGGGAATTGCAATCCAAGCCATCTGGAGAGTGCCATCTTTAAGTGAGTGGGGAGCTGGAAATATTTGGATATGAAATATCTGAGATAGGAAATTAAATATATTCATGTAGACATAAAACACATAGTTGCATATATTTTAAAGTATTTCAGTTGGTTCTGCTGATTGTGTAAACAGACCTTGGTACTTAAAACAAAATATGTATTATTGGCTGCCTAGTAAGCAGAAAACACTCAAAATATATATGGAAGGCAATTGTAGGGGATATTCATTCGAATGGTTCATTCAAACAGTTCCAGATTTATTTCCTGGTTGTTGTTTTTCTGTTAGTGATCAAAAAGGATCATACCAAACTACTCACCAATAACCACCTTTTGATATAAATGAAGGACACAGACTGAATCCATCTGGATCCCGAATTGAATACAGGAGATGAATCCCGCCCCACTGAAGCTTTACTAGACACTTGGGATTCAGATATTCAGGCTTTGGCCATTTCCCAATTACCGAGACAATGCATAGCATCATTTTTGCAATGCTGAAGTGATGTACTCATTACTATTTTGACTTGGATACCTTCAGAACATACTATAAATTACTAAGATACTCCTCAACTTAGCAACCATTCAGTTAACAATACAAAGTTACTGAAAAAAGTGATTTAGTTCCTCGTATTTACAACAATTGCTGTATGTATCCCATGATCGTGTGATCAAAATTTGGCCACTTTGCAACGGGCATGTATTTGTGATGGTTACAATATCCTGGGGTAATGTGGTTATTATTTGTGACCTTCCCAGTTAGCTTCTGATAAGAAAACAATGAGGAAAGCAACTGCAGTGGTTTTGTTTAACAACATGGTCAAAAATGTTTTAAAATTTGGCATGACTCATTTAACAACTGCCTTCTTTAGCAAGAAAAATTCTGGCCTCAATTGTGGTCATAAGTTGAGGACCATGAGTAGGGAAATGACCATAGGTAGTATGCCTCTAGAAATTAAATATCTTTTTTGCTTATTCTTCATAAGAGAAAAATTTGAGAGGGGGAAAGAAAAGGAAGGAATGTCAACCTGGTTTTCAAACTGATGCTTCTAAGAGTTTAATCACAGTGAAAGATTTTATCCCCCATCATAATTCTTTAGGAAGAGAAGTTGCAGAATTTTCTACCATTAAATATAGTTTGTGATTTTTCTGTCTTGGTACTCATTTAGAAAAAAAATACTGCTTTGGTTGCTCTATGTTTCACTTCCAATGTTCATCCTACCTTAAAACCCCTTTGCTTAAAAAAATCATTACAAATTCCTTAGCTTCTGCACCTATCCCTCTAAATTTTGAGAAAATCTATACTTCTGCATAGGAACTTATCTGTTTACAAGCAAAAAGAGAAAGAGAGATGGGAAAGGAAGGGAAGGGAGAAACAATACACTTTGCTCATAAAAAAATTGTTCTTCCGTCAATATCATTGTGCCTGTTGTTTTAATATTCTGCACATTAAGATGTACTATTTTGAACATCAGTTAAGCAGATTGCATATAGTGACACATTCTCAATACTTTCTCATCATGATCTTGATCTCTTGCCCTCCACTTTTGAATCTAATCTCCAAAACAGAATGGAAATGTGTGAGGAATCCAATATTTATCTTTCCTTTTCTGTTTTTCAAAGAGAGCTGAGCCTACTCCATCTGCTGGGATCATCCCTGCTGCATGCCTTCTAGGTTTCTGTGATGTTTGATGCTTTCCTGCTTTGTGCTTAGCTGCCTTTTGTCAAGAGTATCAGCTGTAAATCACCCAGTTCCTGGCTAGAGTCCTGCCCATTGTTTACTGTTCCTTGATAATCCATGTATGAATGTCATGCTTTGCTGTGCACCTTTAATTTTCCAGGCCAAAACAAAGTAATAAAACTGTTCATAATCTCCTAGCTTTTCCAAAATCCAGAACTTGCATTAGCCATTCCATCCCTTTCTTTTTTTTAAATGATACTGCTTTGGAGAGATTCTTTGTAAAAGGCAGCAAGTCTTTATTAGTGGACCCTCTTCCCAACTGGTTTAAAGGACTGCATCTATTTTCCTTCTTCATCTTAATACAGAAGATGAGTCAGGCTGAAATGACAACAGGGAATATCATGGTTAGCAAGAAGTTAGTCAGGTAAACTGACTTTGCCAGATTTGTTATCTCTGTGCCTATCAAGGCAATTTGTATTCTTTCTTGTGCTTTCTGAGTCTGTATTTTTGCTTTAAAAAAAAAAGCAAACCACTTGGTCTCTTAGTATGGACTAGAGGCACATTCAGAGTTAATAGGTAATGCTTGGCAGTGGGCAAAAGCTGAAAGAACTGCGAATTTCAATGGTTACGGCTCCCAATACTTTTTACTTGTCAGATTATTCCTTCATTGCTTAGAGTTAAACATCAGAACCATGTATCAGTTTATTGAAATTGCCCTGAGAAGCTGCTCATACAGGGAAATATTTTCCTAAAGGATAATTATAAAAAAGACCTATGTCTCTAACAACTGTAGAGATAGAGTGGAGAATGGGAATGCAAAAGGAGAGACTGTAGGCTTTTCTCTGGGAGCAAAAGGGAGGAAGAAGAGAGAAAAAAGAATGTTACGTTTTTGCTGTGAATGACAGTGGGTCAATTTCTTGCATTCAGTGGTATACAAATTTAGTAAGTGAAGAAATAAATAGACACAGGGGAAAACAAAGGAAAATCTTTGAACAAGATTGTGCCTAGGAACTCTGTTGCTGGTCTTAACATGAAATCATATGGAAGCTGCTTCCCAGGATTCTTTTGTGTGATATAATAGCCTCAGAAAAAGAAGAAACTTTGAATGAACATTTCAGAATAGTTAAGAGAACAGCTATTAACATGTCAAAATATAGCCTATGTCAGCGGTCACCAACTGCTGGTCCATGGACCTCTGCTGGTCCACAAGAAAATTTTGGTGGTCAGCAGAAAAATTATTTGCATTTTTTATATAGCATCTGTTAAAAAAAATCTTATTAGTGGTCTGCAGGATTTAAAATTATGAATTTAGTGGTCCCTGTTGTCCAAAAGGTTGGTGACTCCTGGCCTATGTAGTTGTATGTCAAGAATTACAACTTGAATCTTTCCAAGTGTTCATATTTGTTCATGTTGAGTTACCAGAATGGCCATTTACTGTTGGAGTAAATGCTATAGCATTCTCATCTTTCTGCACTTTCAGTGTTAAGTGTGAGACATTTTCCTTCCTTCCTTCCTTCCTTCCTTCCTTCCTTCCTTCCTTCCTTCCTTCCTTCCTTCCTTCCTCCCTCCCTCCCTCCCTCCCTCCCTCTCTCCCTCCCTCCCTTCTTTCCTTCCTTCCTTCCCCTCTGCACTTGGTAGTGTCTGGCCAGCAGGAATAGTAGAAACTTGCACCTTCTTGTGAGAACAGCCTTCTTCTAAATGCGGAACTATGAAGACAATAATTACTTATCCCCCCTGAAGATAGGGAGAAATGGCTATGTGGTTGAGCTCTTGGTGGAACCTAAACTCAGCAGTCCTCTTCCTGCAAGGACTTAAAACAGGATATGCTAAAAGGGAATAGCTAAAAAAGAAGCAGGCTGGTCCAAGACATTGCCATCATTCAGACAAAAAAGAAATGTGAATAGCATCCTTCCCTTAATTAATTGAATACCAGAATATTCTATTTTTTAAGATGCACTCTGAAGTTTGGCAAGAGCATTTAATTTCATACTATATGTACATATATGCCCATCACATTCTTCTCTTTTAAAATAAGCAATCTTATGCAGAACATAGAAAAGGAGTCATAAATATTAAATAGTAAATAAACCAAACGGAATGCATTAGAGACGAAAAGCAATGAAAACATACTAAAATTAGCTCACTTCTATTATCCTTATATACACCATGTCAGGGCAATATATCATATTTTTTGCTTCTGCATTTTTGATTTTTCACTTCTGTCTTTTTCAGGACCTCATAAATTGAGGTCTCTATTGAATTCCTATTTTATTAACTTGCCATATTTGCTCAAAATATTGTACTTCCTTCACCTTAGCCACTTGGTGTTTATATAACAGTGCAACAGTTTATATAACTTGCAACTATTCATTCAGTTTTCCCTACTAAATATATATTTGATATATTTATTTTCAACCATATACTCACTATAAATTTGGACTGCCCACTCCCTGCCAGCATAAAGCCAGACTTCCCTATCTTACTGTGATCTCTGCCATCCATCATGACTTTGGACAATCAAGGTTTTACATAATGCTGTTTAGTTAAGAAAACTATATGGTAGGTTGTTGTTTTAGTTGTAGTCATTTTATATGCAGTGTTCCCTGCTAATGCTAACCTCATTATCGGCCAATTTTGCCATATTTTGTCCAGTATGTCACAAGCATCTCAAAGCCCAATTTTATCACAAGCATACCCAGACTTTCTGTATTACATAGAATTTCTAAACTAGGGATTCACCTTGCAAGCCAATATACTGTTGCCCACATCCTACCAACTAGGAATTATACATACTCTAGTATATTAACACACACTCATTTAACTGCCTCTTGATCTTGGTTCAGTCATGTAATAATTTTTCAAAAAACACAATCGAGAAAACTACTGAGTGATTTCATACAATAAAATTTTGAGATGCTGAAAGAATATTCAATTAACTTACATTCATCAATTTTTATATAAGATAACATCTTTACTCATTAGGTGAAACTCATATAATGAAACCACAGAATAGAAACTTAACTGTTTCTGAAACTTAAATATTCTTAGTAGTGTTCATCAAGATCCATCTACGTTAAAAGACTTTTGTAAAGGCCTTATTGCAATAGGTATGAATTATGTAAGAGCTATCCAATGAATTGAGGTCTATAAAGGAGAGCTGATTGTAAATTGTATTTGATAGATGTCATTTTTCCGTATCATGGGTTTCTTAATAGCTTCCCAAATTTGCTACCTGAGTTTGGGAATGAAAATGGCACTTCGTGAAGCTTGCAGTTGTCTAAATTTACATTGCCAGGCCTTCTGGTCAGTTAATATTTCTTTGATGTGTGCCATCTTTGCAATACATAACCATACATATTGTGTCATGGAGAGTTGCATCTATGTACATATGTTTGCAGAAAATGAAGCCAATCCCCCATTCCACTCAGTGTTACTCAGAGCTGCTAAATAGCTTAAAAGGCAAAGATCAAAAGATAAAAGTGGTACTTTCTTCTATTAAGCTTATAGATTTATATTAAGGGAGCCAAAGAGACCACACAGATCTCCACTTTCAAGCAGAGAAATGTCCCAAGCCCACCTCCAGCCCTGGATTTTTTAAAATACATGTGTGGTCTTGAACAGTTTTGCATGGCAAGTCTTTATTTGAAAGTCTAAGTAAGGCTTAATTATCGCTTTCTGCAACATAAAATAAAATTTTAAAAAGCCTAAAATTTTCTACTTACTGCCAAACTACATATGATACTGAATCATATGATTCTTTCTCCTGCTAAAGGAAAATGCTATGGTTAATATGGAAAATACAAGTCCTTAACCAACATGAAAAATTGTTACAGAATCACCGTATGTGTTTGAGATTCGCTTTGGTCTAGTGGTTAAAGCACCAGACTAGAAAGCAGGAGACTATGAGTTGTAGTCCCACCTCAGCCATGACAGGCCAGCTGGGTGATTTTGGGCCAGTCTCTCTTTCTCAGCCCAACTCATCCTAGAGGGTTGTTTTTGTCAGGAAAATGGGAGGAGAAAGGTAAGTTGGAAATGTTTGCTGCATTGAGTTATTTGTGAACAATTAGGCAGGAATCAATCAATCAAACAATCAAACAAACAAATAAATGTATGTTACATGGTTGCTTCAAAAGTGGTAGTGTACAGCCCAGCCATAAATTAGTAGAGATGAAAGTGGAATATGTTTGCTTAAGTTCTTGCCACTTCTCATCAAGCTATAATGGACCTATGATGGTCAAGCATCTATGATGCTCCAGTTTTCTAGAACAAAGACCAGTGGATAGCAGAGGTTATCATCATTTTCCTCCAAGCCTGGCTTCTCCCTTCATCCAATAACTCTCCTAAGGAAAAGTGGTCAGCAGAGAGATCTGAAGAATTTGAGAATGTATACAATGCTTGTGCACAGGAATAATTCCCAACCCATTTCTAGTAAAAGTGTCCAACAACTGACCAGTAAGGGAGTGAAATTAATATCATTCCCCAATTAATTGTCAGCTGCCACCTCATACTTGTTGTTACTATTTGGTCAAGACTGCTATGAACACTGGGGAAGGGGAAAATGTAATGGGGAAGGCTTGGGGGAAACAAAAGTAAGGGCTGAATCGCCTCGAGATCCACCAATCATACCAGCTGCATATCAAGGGTGAGGAAATGGGCACAATGGTCTCTTGTCATTGGGAAATGAGAGCAACCATTGGCAAGGGTGACCATCACCCAAGGATCTAGAGTCACGCCATACTGCCCAGGGGGATGGCACAATCTATGGCAAACCTGAAAGGAGACTCCCAACAGGACCATGGGCCAGAGGCTTGAACTCATTGAAGAAATGCTTGATGAATTCTTGGTCGATTCCCCCCTGGAGCAGCCCACTCCAGCATCTGGCACAGCAGTTTAGCCTGCTGTCCCTGCACCTCTGATCCCAGCATGGCCAGTGAGGCAAGATGGCCATTCAATCCCAGAGTTGAAAGTGAAGTTCAGCAGAGTTCAGCAGGCTGAAGTTAAGCAAAAAAGTTAGGGTACTTCCTTACCCAGGTTTTGAATTTCATGGTGCACCATGGACCAAACTACTCAAATGACGAAGCCAAGGTGAATTGCATCACTGTGATTCTGGACGGAGAAGAGGCTGACTGGGTGATTTCGCTCCATGATGCTGACACCGAGGAGCTGCATGATTTCAACCAATTCATGATCTCCCTGAGGCAATGCTTCAAAAATCCCCTGGCAGACCAAAAAGTAGAAGGAAGGATCAAGGCCATCTGCAAGGCAGACAATCAATTACAGCCTACATCCAAGAATTCCGATATTGGTTAGCAATCTCCCAAACTGGCCACAAGATTGTATACACCTGGAATATTTCCAAGAAGGCCTCAACTCGGAAGTCCTGACCACTTGCTTATCCTGTCCTGGGCTCACCAGGATCCTATGGGAGTGTTATATCCTGGCTGGTGAGGTGGAGGTAGACCTCGCCATTATCTGTGAAACCAAAGAGTGAGGGCAGTGGATGAGCAAAGCGCTGGAAAAGAAGGCCCAACCAAAGATTGGCAAGGGAGGGTCCAATCCCAAGTATTTCTCAGGAGTCTGTTTCCACTGCAGCATAGAGGGTCACTGGGCAGCCTATTGTTCAAACTCACAACAGGGGCCAGCAATGAGGTGTGCCCCACCAAAAAGAGGAAGCTACGGTCAAACCCAAGACCACTGTCAGTGAAGGGGATGAAGTCAAAGGATTCTCCCCACCCTCCAACAAGGAGGAGGATATCCCAGTGAAAAGTCAGAAGTTGGTCAGAGAGCATGGTAGTAGTGATGATGATGATCCACTGGTGAGTGTTTACTCAAAACCAATGGCAGTGAGGGTGAAATTAAAAGTAACCTCCTTGGGATGGAAAGTGGAATTAGCAGTTTTACTGGACTCTGGGTATACCCAATGTCTTATAAGCCCATCCATAGCAGAGGGTGTTGAAATGCAACTTTGTAAACTTAAAGTGCCAGTAGCATTGTTGGAGGGCAAATAGAAAATTGTATTCAATTGCCCATTAGGTTTCAGTTTCAGATTCTTCTTTTCAGCCTACAGGGGGCACGCACCATGTTCATGCAACTCATTAATGAAATTCTGCATGAATATTTATTCTAGGGAGTCTTGATTTATTTAGATGACATTTTAATTTATATCAAAATCATGGATGAGCATGTTATGCTGGTAGAGGTGTTCCTGCAAAAGCTATTGGCAGCCCAATTGTATGTGAAACTTTCCAAATGCGAATTTCACCAACTCAGATTGGACTAACAAGGCTACGGGTCTCCCGTGAAGGAGTGGAAATGCATCCAGAAATGGTATTAGAATGGGAGGCACCATGTGCCTGAAAGCAGTTGCAGAGCTTCCTAGGCTTCGTGAACTTCTATAGACAATTCCTACTTTCGCTCAAATTGCTCTGCCATTAACCAGCTTGGTAAAAACTAAAGGGGAGGGAAAACCTAAGTCTGGAAATCACCTCAAATGGTCCATGGAATGCTGGATGGCTTTTGAGAAACTTGAGACTATTCGCCACTGAGCTCATTCTGAAACACTCATACCCCGATATCTCTTTCATCGTTCAAGCAGATGCAAGTGGTGTAGCAGTCACAGTAGTCCTTCTACAGAAGGATCCCAAGGGACACTTACAACCATGCGCTTACACTTCCAAGAAACTGTCTGAGGCAGAACATAGATTTGGTTTGGGGAAAAAGAGGCTTATGCAGTGAGATGGGAATTATTCACATGGCAACAGTGGTGGGTTGCTCCTAGTTCTGTCTGGTTCTTTAGAACTGGTAGTAAAAATGGCAAGAAGCTCTGCCCACCCGGCCAGATGTCATAATTGATGATCTGCGCATGCACAGAAGTGTGTGTGTGTGTGAGAGAGAGAGAGTGAGTGAAGCACGTGTGTGCACGCACTCCCATTGCGAACCGGTAGTAAAGGTAAGTAAAACCCATCCCTGCATGGCAACATTTCCTGAAAGGGGGCAATAAATCTTTTGAGATCTGGACTGATCATAAGAATCTGGGGACACTGAACCCCTCCTAAACTGTCCCCTAAACAAGCGATATGGGCACAATATTTCAATTGGTTTAACTTCATATTAAAGTAGCTTCCTGAGGGAGAAGACCGGAAGCTGATGTCAGCCGATACGAGCAAGAATTTCTGGGGCTCCAGAAATTCTGCCGATAGCCCCGCTGCTGGACGGTCCATTCAGGACCCCACAGTCTCATTTTGACTGTGGTAGTGAAGGGCACATCCTGTGGAGCCAAGGGACACCGCAAAGTCCCTGGTTGATCCAGAAAAGCCCTTTTTCCAGCGGCGGTGTAGCAGCCATTGTGCTGCTGAGGCTGCGACAGTTTCAAGAAGGAGGAGGAACGACAGTGAACAGATCGATGAGAGAGCTTTATTTTTTCTTTTTAATACAAAAGACATCCTAACAAATGAATGAAATGGAGATTGAGTGCAAATGATGAGAAGTGGCAAATTTATTTGGGGCTGGTTTTTTTTTTTACCCAAGTACATAATTGGAAAGGCAGTTACATGAAATCTTATTCCTGATAAAACGTAGAGCAGTCCACTAGAGCTGGTGAAAAATTAATCTCAGCAGACAGTCATTCCTTAATCTTCAAGGAAGCATCCTTCCTCTTTAATCCAGTTTGCATTACATTTACTGTGTTAAGGCTGTCAGATGTAAAGGCATTGCTGAAAAAGTGAGGCCATGCAAGACAGTCAAGTTTCTTTATATGATTGTCATCTCTAATTTCTAGGGTCACATGACTGTTAAACTGTTGTTTCCCTAACAGATGTCTAACCAAGCTTTATTTCTTGATTTACTATCCTTTACCATTTATAGGAATCCAAGGAGTTTAGTGATTTCATTTCTATTAGGACTTGCTGAAATTATGTCTAGTTCCCCCTTAATAATCCCTGTGTCCAATTCTGGTCATCATGGTACAAAAAAAGATTTTGAGACCTTAGAAAAAGTGCAGAGTAGAGCAACAAAAATGATAAGGATCTGGAACCTAAAGGTATATCTAGTCTAAAGAAGAGAATGACTCAGTGATACGATAGCAGTACTTGAGAGGCTCTTAAAGAGAAGAGGAACATAACTTATTCTCAAAGCAGCAGAGTGCAGGACAAGAGGTAAGGGGGTGGAAGTTCATTAAAGAGAGATCCAACCTAAAAAAAGGACAAAATTCATGATAGTAAGAATAATTAATCAGTGGAATGGCTTACTTTTGGAAATTGTGGATGCTCCATTAATGGGGGTTTTCACAAAAAAGACTGGAGAGCTATTTGTCTAGAATGGTATAGCATCTCCTGCCATAGGCAGGAGGTTAGACTAGAAGACTTCTGAAGTACCTTCCAGCCCTATGATTCTGTTTTCTATATTCTAATATATTCACTCAGTCCCTGTGGAGGACATATAAAACAGTGGTGGGATTCAAATAATTTAATGGCTCTGTGGGTGTGGCTAGGTGGGTGTGGCTAGGTGGTCATGTGACTGGGTGGGTGTGGCTGGGTGGGCATGGCCAATTCAATGTCACTCACGTCAAGGGGTGCCTCCCCTGGCCCCTCCCCTCCCAGCCATTCCTTGTCACACCCAGCCTCAACGTATCTATAGTTCTGTAAAAATGTTGTTCACCTTTTTTCAATTTTATTATCAACATACTATAGATGTACTTTCATGGACCACTGAAAGGAGGAAATAGCTCACATGCTTTGCCCAGCTTTACCTTCTAGATCTTCCATGCACCTCCGCTGACCTGAATACCATGCCCTTCAGATCCCAACGGGGCCAGTGCATGGCTGCCTGTGAAGGTAAGGCTGATGGCAGGCGCCCCTCAGGGGAGACGCCACTCTGGGGCCGAGACTGCTGATCTGCTGTGGTGCACGTGTGTGCAGCCCTGGGACATCTGCATGCCCTCCTGGAGCGCCGGCGGCAGTGGACGCTGGCTCCATTGGGATCTGAAGGGAAGGGCACCTGATGCATGGAAAGTCTGCAGCTCCTGGAGGCCTTTGGGACAGATAAGATTGTCCATCATGGAGGGCTGTTCTCGGGGCTTCTCGGGCCTTGAGAAGTGGTAGGAGGCTGAGGGAGAGAAATGGATTGAGGCCTTGAGAAGCAGTAGGAGGCTGAGGGAGAGGAACGGATTGAGGTGAGAGAAGCAATATGAGGCTGAGGGAAAGGAATGGATTGAGGCAGAGAGAAACAGACTGAGCCTGAGAGAAGTGATAGGAGGCTGAGGGAGAGGAACATATTGAAGCGGAGAGAAACGGATTGAGGCTGAGAAAAGTGGTAGGAGGCTGAGGGAGAGCTGTGGCGCAGCTGCCACATGGTAGGCCATGGCGGAAGGCAGGCAAGCTGGCTGGGCCACATGGGAGGCAGCTAGGCCAGGATTCAGGGCTTGCTTGCAGATTCACCCAGTCAGACCAGGGCCGTTCAGCTGGGCTGTGTGGAAGGCACTGCGTGGCGCAGCGGTTAAGGCAGGCAAGCTGGCTGGCCCGCAGAGACCATTTGGTTGACGCAAGTGAGAGAATGAGACAGAGAGCAGCAGCAGCTATGCCGGATGAATGGGCAAAATGAGGAGTGACTGGGTGAGGTGGGGTGGGATGGGCGGGGCGGCACAGAATTTTAACAACTGGTTCACCTGAACTGGCCTGAACCAGCTGAATCCCACCACTGATATAAAGTCTGTGCTCAGTGCTATTATTCAGGCACAAAAATAGCTAGGCAATTTTAGAAGATGCAATACATACAAATTCAGAGGACGTGTTACAAAAATCAAGCTTGGAACTGCAACTGCACAGAAATGCAGCTTTTTTTTTTTTAATGTTCATTGCAAATGACACATGCAAAAAAGATGTTGCTGTTGACCCAGCCATTTTAAGGTTTGATTATGATATAATTATATGTAACACAATTTTTGTTCCTGGCTTCTACATTTCCACTGCTTATGTCTAAAGCCTATGCAAAAATATCCACATTCATCACAAACTTTGATTTTTGTGTCCATGGCCTACAACATATATTTATAGAGACAAAAACAGGCAAATTTTAATGTTTTTAAGCAGTTAGAGAAAGAACAATATATATTTGCATAGCAAATACACAAAGGCAGTCAAAACTACTCAAAAGTTTTCAGAAATGAGTAAATTTCTAGATTTGCAACTATACTGCAAATCGCTTTCTCTGAGAAGCCCCCAAACATAGAGTCCCCCATCATGTTTTCATTATATTGTCCTTGGTAATGACATACAAAGTCCAGTATATCCTGGTGGAAACACTCGTCTTTCTGGTTAGGGAAGTATGGCTTTCTCTCCTCAATCATCTCTGTGAAATTGTAATCTTTAACTGCAATATCCTTCCGGGAGTCTGCCTTGCTTCTCTCTCCTGGAGGTGGCTGATCCCTCTCTAGAGGGGTGGGAATGGGGAGCTTGGGCAGTGTGGTACCAGGGTGATTGACAAAGAAATGGATACATGATAGGAGGCATGCTATCGTTGCCAGTACAATGTTTGGAAGGGTCCACCATGCAGAAATAGCAGTTGCTTGAGTGGTCAGTCAGTTCTCGCCAAATTCTTGGGATAGCAAACTTCGTGGCTTTCTTTTTTTCCCCTGTACCAGCCTGTAAACATAGCAGAATTAAACAAACGTGAAAAATGATATTTCACACATTATCTAATTTTGTGCATCATATGAAATAATATAGGTAGGTGATAGATAGATAGATAGATAGATAGATAGATAGATAGATAGATAGACAGACAGATGACAGATAGGTAGATAGATAGATAGATAGATAGATAGATAGATAGATAGATAGTTAGATAGATAGATAGATAGATAGATAGATAGATAGATAGATAGATAGATGATAGATAGTTGTATTTTCCTAGAAAATAGTAGAATAAAATTAATTGTAATAAATCACTGAAATTCCATTTAGCAAGAGCAATTGTTCACTTTATCTTCAAGAGTTTTGTTGCAATGTTTGCATGTGAAATGAGATGCTTGTCTTGATCCCTGACAGGCATGCCGAAGTATGCTTTGTAGGCCTTGCATATCTTAACAGACACTTTCACCGAGTCCTTTTCACTCGGATAAACTGTCCACATACTAGCAAAATACAAGTGCTGGGTGCAAACAACCACTTGATGCCATCTAAATCAAATCTTACTCAGCAATTAGACAAACTAAAATGTTGATTTAAGGGTAGCTGTACTTTTATACTTCTATGGATACTACTGGATAGTCTCAGAAAGTGCTAGAAAGCTCTAAAAGATTCCAGAAAGTTCTAGAAAATTCTGGCCAACTCTAGAAACTTCTGGAGAGTTTTCAGAGTTTCAAAATATTCTGGAAGTATATTCAGCATTGAATGTGAATCGCGAATGTTTCCAGAAACAGATACTTTATTTATTTTATTTTATTTCTATACCGCCCTTCTCCTGCGGGACTCAGGGCGGTGTACAGTCAAGATAAAACATTGCATATAAAATTTAAAAACAGTTTAAAAAACAATTAAATAATTTCGGCCCAAGATTTAAAACAACCCAATTAAAACT